TCGGCGTGGGCCACTCGTAATGGCGCGTGTCTTCTCCGGATCGGTGTGTATGCCCTCTGGGTTGACGACATGCCCGAGGTACTTGAGCTGTTGTACGCAGAACCGACATTTGTCGGGGTTTGGCGGAGTCTAGCGGCTCGTAGCCGGCGGAACACCTCCTCAAGCGTCCGGAGATGCTCATTGAAGGAACGGCTAATGACAATAATGTCGTCGAGGTACACTAATACGGAAGGCTCCAGTTCTGGGCCCAGGACCTCATCCAATAACCGCTGAAACGTGGCGGGCGCCGAATGTAGGCCGAAAGGCATCACCTTAAACTAGAACAGCCCTTTGCCCGGTACGGTAAAGGCAGTGATCAGTCGGCTATCCGGGTGCAATGGCACCTGCCAATACCCGTTCTTGAGATCGAGTGTTGAGAGATATCTGGCTCTTCGCAGCTTATCCAGAGTGGAGGTAATCTGTGGCAGCGGATAGGCATCTTTCACGGAAACCTCGTTAACCTTACGGAAGTCTATGCAGAACCGATGGCGGCCATTTTTTTTCCGGACTACAACTACCGGGGAGCTCCACGCGCTCCTGGCTGGTTCAATCACCCCGTCTTGCAACATTTGGTCGACTTCCCGGTCGATGATTTGTTGCATCGCGGGGTTTCGTGGTCGGTATCGCTGTTTGATCGGTTGTTCTTTCGTGAGGTATATGCGGTGTTCGAGCAGAGGCGTGGGGCCCCTAATATTCTGGAACTTGGCTAACTCCTTGCTGAGGAATTGTTCCAGTCGGCCACCTTCGGCGGGGGTGCTTTGTTGCAACCCTATTTGGATTTCGCATATCGGCTGTATTGTTGTCCCCCCGGTGAGAGGCGGTGGCGAAAGCCACAGTTTGGTTTTCCGCCGCAAATCAACCCCAATCAGCATTGCGTTCTTTAGCTCGGGTAAGATGCGGAATCTGTGGCGGTAGTAGGCGGTTCCAAATTGGACAGGGAGCCACATGTCTCCTGGTGTGGTACACACGGCTCCGTCGGCCAACAGGACTTCCTCCTGGCGTATTCTCGGGCCGGAACCCGCGGTCACAGGCCAGTTCAGCGGTGGCGGTGTTGATGCAGGAAACCTCCGATCCTGAGTCAACCAGGGCTTCGATCGAGGCGTCCTTCACCCGTACCTTGATGTGAGGCCCTGGTGTGTAATAAACTTTACATTGGCGGACCGAGGCGCGGCCACCCTCTACTCGGTCCGTTCCTCGTTTCCCGCTCGTGGATGACACTGGCGAGTCAAGACTCCGTCTTTCCCACATTGGGAGCAAAATTTACGCGATGGACGAGTGCAGTGGAAACGCGTGTGTCCGCGTTGTTTGTATTTCCAACAGCACTCGTCTCGTTGGTATTCGATGGCTGCGACGGTTAGCTGCCGGTCAGCTTTAGCCCGGCTCTTTTGCTCTTGCAAAATGGCTTCGTACTCGGTAGCTCGGGCTTGCAGGTCGGCTAGGGTGGTCACATCGACCAACCGGATGTATAGTTTAAATGCGGGATCCATGTTATCGTAGATCCGCTCGATTTACTGTCGGGTGGTAAAACCTCCCGCACGCCGCATCAGAGTGAGGAGGGCCGTGGCATATTTCTGGAACGGTTCTCCCGTCTTTTGTCGCCGATCCAGCGCTTCGCGTTCTAATTGAGCGCGATATCGATTCGGCAGATATTGTTGTTTTACCGCGTCGGTGAAGTCCCGCCATTGCGTCCATTCGTCGTGGTTGAGCATCTCCGGTAGCCCGAGCAGAAAGTGCTCCTTCCGGTACCCATATGTACGACTCAGTTCCTCTACCCGCTCCAAAAACGCCCACGGGTCTCGACCATCAAAATGGCATCCCCATTTTCGTATTTAGTTCATTATCCTTCCCGGGTCGGCCATGGTCTCGTCGATCTCCTCATGAGGAGCAAAGCGAGGTAAATTGACATTGGTAGATTCGTGCTGGAGGTTCATCGCGTCGTGTGGCGGACAATTTTCCTCTGGTTCGGCCACGTTCGCAGTCGGTGGAACGTCAGTGAAACTACTGAGGTCGAGCGGGGTTTTGAATTCCAATCCTGGGTTTTTTACAATAAACGTATTGAATCGCTTACGAAGCTCGTCAAGCGACCCTTGCGTCTCCAACTAGTGCTCTTCTAAGAGCCTGCTCACCGTTTCTTTATTTAGGAAACAGACCCACCTCGGCATGGTTCTTTACAATTGAGCAAGATACCGGTCCCTGTTCGGGCGCCATGTGACGCCTAGCGTGCGTCCTCGCAAGTCCTTCCTGCTTACGGTGCAGAATCGGGCTCCGCCGAGATCCGGCCTGTCGGAACCCAGAGGCAGGAAGGGATCGTGCTCAATTGACGCGTTTGCTTGCGTGTTAATAATGCTTTATTAAATAAAATAAGCGATGTAGTAAAATAGAAGATGCCGAGATCGGCTGAGACGGCAGCGGTGATTTGTTGCGCAAACGGGTCGCTTGACCAGGGCTGCACGACTTCCGGTCGTGACGACACGGCGGTCGCGTCCGTACGGGGATCGCTCGCTCGTTGTTCGCGTTTCTTCGCTCAGGCGGGCCGTCGTGCCCGTCGCCGGGATTCCGCCGTCGTGCTCCCGTGACGTCCAAAATCGTCGCACGTGCGAAATCGTTCGGCCGTCGGGGCTTCCGCCCCTAATCTCAGTCCCGCTGGGCGGCGAGGACTCTCGCCCGGGAAATCACGAGTACGTTCGTGTCAGGAGCGGCGAGGACTCTCGCCCGGGAAATCACGAGTACGTTCGTGTCAGGAGCGGCGAGGACTCTCGCCTCGGTATTCACGAGTACGCTCGTGTCAGGAACGGCGAGGACTCGCCTCGGTGTTCACGAGTACGCTCGTGTCAGGAACGGTGAGGACTCTCGCCTTGGTATTCACGAGTACGCTCGTGTCAGGAGCGGCGAGGACTCTCGCCCTGGGAAATCACGAGTACACTCGCTATTCTGCCGGAGAACTCTCGGGCTGGGCGACGACTCGTCTATCTGCGACGAGACGTCGGAAGGAAAAGGTGTCTCTAGCGAGTCGCACGGCGCCTTATATCGGCCGCCCGTACGATTCCGGATCGTTCCCCTCCCGTATTCCGTGGCATGGAATACACATGACTGCCGCATGCCGTGCGCGCCGAGGCGGTCCTTGCCTCCACGCGCGCGCCGCGTGCTCGCTCGCTCCTTTGTTTTCCCGCTCGCTCGCGGTTCTTTTCGCTCGCTTGCTACTCCGTCTGCTCGCTTGTATCCGGCGCAGGGTGCATGACCCGGGGTCGACATGTATTTCGCGTGGCCGGATCAGTAACGATCAGCGTATCGTTACAAGATAAATGTTGGAAGAGTCACCAAGTTTTCCTTAAATATCTCAAAAAATATTAAGCAAATAAAAAATGTTTCAGACAAAAGTTGTTCAAATTAATTGGTAGAAAAAGAAGATATAATAAAAAGTTGGGATTTTCATTTATAAAAATTGATGGTCAGTGAATATCTTGAAAGTGGCACCATCTATTAACAAAATGCTATCGCTGTCTTATATCCCTCTTCAAGTCAAACAACTTTTGTCTGAAACATTTTTTTTACTTAACGCAGTGTTTCTAAAGCGTGGTCTACAATGGCCGTAAGCAATAAGAAGAAAGCGTGAACGGTAAGAAATGGACCAACCACAGTTAATTATTTTTGTCATAATCGACTGTGATTGGTTTATTTCTTACGATATTTCAACAACATTATAGCAATATCCTGTGATATTGTGACAATATTCCTACAACATCATAACAATATCCTCGCAATATTTCTGCGAGACTTATGCCTAGGCTTAAATATTTCTGCAATATTGTTGTCATATTTATGCAATATTTTAGTAATATTCCTGCAACATTTCTGTAATATTCCTGGCAATATTGCCGGTGCTATGTGGGCAGTAAATTATCGGTCATGGTTGTGACTTAGTTCTTCGCATTGGCATAAATTTGCCACTATTGCAATTAAGAAATACATATCAGATAAGTAATTAATATTCACATAAAATAAAAGATTAAGTATCCATGTATAATCAGTAATGATAGATGTTGAACCGATTCTTTCTTTCGATTAATTTTTTGTTTCAGCTTCCCAGCTATTCAAGTTCTTGCAGAATATTAATAGTTGAAGGCCCACTTTCCTGTAAAGTAAGATTACCAAAGTCTAAGGTTACTGTGTCCTTGAATGCGTCCCAGTAAGCAAAGTTGAATCACATCCTAACGTCAAATATCAGAGTAAGATGTGTTACTAGCAGTGTAATGACAGATTAATGCATCAAACTAAGAATAGGTTAGTAACATTGATGTTTACTGTCATATCATCAATGCTTTCGACAGCTGTATTCGAAATTTTGTTATCACTATCATGTAGCGTACTGACTGATATATTTTTCTTATCTTTTAGGAAACAGGATGTTTTGCCTATGTTTGCCTCTGCAAATAAGGTTATTGTGATTTACGGCCAAGAATGATGAACTTTTTCCCAAAAATTGAGGATCGGTCCTTAAAGAAGACAACTACTAAAATTAGTAAAATGAAAAATAAAAATCATATGAATGGAAGATGCAAGAGTCACGAGAAGTCAAGGATCACAAAGAAAATAGAAAGTAAGAACATGTTATGTTATATGTTTATTTCTTCTTTTCCTATTAATTTTGATAATTCATACAAAATTAATAATAAATCTAAATCTGTGCTTTCATCAATTTTGGCCCAAATATCTTGTACTATTTCTTCTTTTCTTTTCAAGGATGAATTAAAATCGGATCTTGTCCAAAATGTTGGGTTCCTCATCATGTTATGAACGCTTCTTTGATGTTGTGTTAAATTTTCTCTAATACATAATATTAAATTGTAAGAATGCTAAAAATATTCTGGCAATAAATGCAATAGAGTGCTTAATAATATACCTAAAAATGTAATGATTGTAGAATGTTTATGAAGACTTTCCTTCAGTTCTCTATTATGTTGCTCACTTATATTGTTTGTTTTATGTAATTGTTTATATACGCAGAACGAATTGGGTTTAAAATTGTTCAACCATGTTTCCTTGTAGTAATTACAAAAATTCACCCAAATATGTATGTATTTATCAAAAATAATTTTGTTAATTACATAAAAACCTTCTTCTATCAGTGATTCTGGCAACAATGCTAACGATATTAATAGTTTTGTTGCATTCCATCCTATTTCTTGTTTATTGCCTTTTAAAATTTTATGTTTCCTCGCATTATGTATTAATGCCTGTAAAGAGAAAACAATATAAGGAAAATTAAAGTGCATTTCATGTCTCTTATTATGTGCATTTTTATCTTTTATTACCTGGCTGTAGTGAAAAAAGCAGCCAATAACTTTTGCATTAGGGAATGCTGTCTTGAGTGCATTTTGCTCCGCTCTTTCAAGATCCGATAATATATAGTTTGGTTTAATATCTATAATATTAAAAATTTTTTTTAAAACATCTAAATAATTCGGTCTAAATGTCGGTGGTGCGACCTTCCATTATTGCATATACAATAGGGTATGTCTGAAATTTGAGAAAAAAATTTAAGTTGTTCATATATTTATATTGAGTGTCTTTTGCAATAATATAAACTAATTATTATTTAATGCATATATTTTTGAATTCTTTTACTTACTCTGTCATTATTTCTAATAACTAATAATCCATAATTGACTATTATTATTGTGCAATTGAGGCACCGTTGCGAAGGTATCGTCCACAAAAATAGTTAATTCATTTGTTAACTTTTTTTATACTTTTTATTATAAATTTGTCAATAAAAATGACAGCCTTAACGTCATTATTTTTAATAAACTGTTTCTACATGAAACGAATGTGTTTCATTTATTTTTAATAGATCTTTCCATTTTTCATTTTTCAAACTGATACTCAGGTCTGTTAAATTTTGTGGAGTCTGTCCAAATCCTTTCTTCTTTTTCGCGCGTTCAATAGATCTTTCGACATTTTTAATATTAGTAAATTGGAGCAAACTATCGTACCTAAACGTTAATTCAAAAATTATCAATTAAAAATTGTATCTAATTTTCCTTTTAATTTTAAACATCTTAAGTATAATTTTCATCTTAAGCTTAATGTTTTCTGTTTATCGTTTTGTACTCACTTTGAAATAATTGTGTTTCTTATTAATCTTGTAGATTTAAACTGACTTGATGTTTCTATTTCTTTTCTAATGTCTGATAATTTAAAATCTGGTTTGTTATGATTATGACTTCCCTTTATCGTAACGTAATCACCGTTTTCTATTTTTAAACGTGCTGTACACCTGAAGTTTCTATTTTTTTGAAAACTGCATTCATAATATCTGTAATAAAAATATTCATAAATACAAAACATCAAATTCAACCTAGTGAGTTTCTATGCTGATTAATTAAATAATTATTTAATTTTTACAGAACAAGTATAATAAAAAAGAAGATGTACCCAAATAGCAAATCCACGTCATTTAGATGCCAAATAACTTGGATCTGTTATCTGGTTAGTATATAGTTAAAGAAGTATTAAACATTGGAGTAAAAAAGTTATTAAATTATTTCATTGAGAAAATACTATATAACACAGCATTTTTTGCAATTAACAGTCATAAAAATTAATAATGTTACTCCAAAATATTTCGTTACCTTTTGTCTTCGTAAGATTTATTAAAATAGAAATGATATCCATGATGAATCAATTTTGGCTGTTGCATCCTTATATTATTATTGCACTTATTTGGATGTGACATCTCGGTGAAATACAGAAAATATGCAAAATAATATTATTTTGCATATTTAATGAATTATAGAACAGCCAAAATTGATTCATCATGGATATCATTTCTATTTTAATAAATCTTACGAAGACAAAAGGTAACGAAATATTTTGGAGTAACATTATTAATTTTTATGACTGTTAATTGCAAAAAATGCTGTGTTATATAGTATTTTCTCAATGAAATAATTTAATAACTTTTTTACTCCAATGTTTAATACTTCTTTAACTATATACTAACCAGATAACAGACCCAAGTTATTTGGCATCTAAATGACGTGGATTTGCTATTTGGGTACATCTTCTTTTTTATTATACTTGTTCTGTAAAAATTAAATAATTATTTAATTAATCAGCATAGAAACTCACTAGGTTGAATTTGATGTTTTTGTATTTATGAATATTTTTATTACAGATATTATGAATGCAGTTTTCAAAAAAATAGAAACTTCAGGTGTACAGCACGTTTAAAAATAGAAAACGGTGATTACGTTACGATAAAGGGAAGTCATAATCATAAAAACCAGATTTTAAATTATCAGACATTAGAAAAGAAATAGAAACATCAAGTCAGTTTAAATCTACAAGATTAATAAGAAACACAATTATTTCAAAGTGAGTACAAAACGATAAACAGAAAACATTAAGCTTAAGATGAAAATTATACTTAAGATGTTTAAAATTAAAAGGAAAATTAGATACAATTTTTAATTGATAATTTTTGAATTAACGTTTAGGTACGATAGTTTGCTCCAATTTACTAATATTAGAAATGTCGAAAGATCTATTGAACGCGCGAAAAAGAAGAAAGGATTTGGACAGACTCCACAAAATTTAACAGACCTGAGTATCAGTTTGAAAAATGAAAAATGGAAAGATCTATTAAAAATAAATGAAACACATTCGTTTCATGTAGAAACAGTTATTAAAAATAATGACGTTAAGGCTGTCATTTTTATTGACAAATTTATAATAAAAAGTATAAAAAAAGTTAACAAATGAATTAACTATTTTTGTGGACGATACCTTCGCAACGGTGCCTCAATTGCACAATAATAATAGTCAATTATGGATTATTAGTTATTAGAAATAATGACAGAGTAAGTAAAAGAATTCAAAAATATATGCATTAAATAATAATTAGTTTATATTATTGCAAAAGACACTCAATATAAATATATGAACAACTTAAATTTTTTTCTCAAATTTCAGACATACCCTATTGTATATGCAATAATGGAAGGTCGCACCACCGACATTTAGACCGAATTATTTAGATGTTTTAAAAAAAATTTTTAATATTATAGATATTAAACCAAACTATATATTATCGGATCTTGAAAGAGCGGAGCAAAATGCACTCAAGACAGCATTCCCTAATGCAAAAGTTATTGGCTGCTTTTTTCACTACAGCCAGGTAATAAAAGATAAAAATGCACATAATAAGAGACATGAAATGCACTTTAATTTTCCTTATATTGTTTTCTCTTTACAGGCATTAATACATAATGCGAGGAAACATAAAATTTTAAAAGGCAATAAACAAGAAATAGGATGGAATGCAACAAAACTATTAATATCGTTAGCATTGTTGCCAGAATCACTGATAGAAGAAGGTTTTTATGTAATTAACAAAATTATTTTTGATAAATACATACATATTTGGGTGAATTTTTGTAATTACTACAAGGAAACATGGTTGAACAATTTTAAACCCAATTCGTTCTGCGTATATAAACAATTACATAAAACAAACAATATAAGTGAGCAACATAATAGAGAACTGAAGGAAAGTCTTCATAAACATTCTACAATCATTACATTTTTAGGTATATTATTAAGCACTCTATTGCATTTATTGCCAGAATATTTTTAGCATTCTTACAATTTAATATTATGTATTAGAGAAAATTTAACACAACATCAAAGAAGCGTTCATAACATGATGAGGAACCCAACATTTTGGACAAGATCCGATTTTAATTCATCCTTGAAAAGAAAAGAAGAAATAGTACAAGATATTTGGGCCAAAATTGATGAAAGCACAGATTTAGATTTATTATTAATTTTGTATGAATTATCAAAATTAATAGGAAAAGAAGAAATAAACATATAACATAACATGTTCTTACTTTCTATTTTCTTTGTGATCCTTGACTTCTCGTGACTCTTGCATCTTCCATTCATATGATTTTTATTTTTCATTTTACTAATTTTAGTAGTTGTCTTCTTTAAGGACCGATCCTCAATTTTTGGGAAAAAGTTCATCATTCTTGGCCGTAAATCACAATAACCTTATTTGCAGAGGCAAACATAGGCAAAACATCCTATTTCCTAAAAGATAAGAAAAATATATCAGTCAGTACGCTACATGATAGTGATAACAAAATTTCGAATACAGCTGTCGAAAGCATTGATGATATGACAGTAAACATCAATGTTACTAACCTATTCTTAGTTTGATGCATTAATCTGTCATTACACTGCTAGTAACACATCTTACTCTGATATTTGACGTTAGGATGTGATTCAACTTTGCTTACTGGGACGCATTCAAGGACACAGTAACCTTAGACTTTGGTAATCTTACTTTACAGGAAAGTGGCCTTCAACTATTAATATTCTGCAAGAACTTGAATAGCTGGGAAGCTGAAACAAAAAATTAATCGAAAGAAAGAATCGGTTCAACATCTATCATTACTGATTATACATGGATACTTAATCTTTTATTTTATGTGAATATTAATTACTTATCTGATATGTATTTCTTAATTGCAATAGTGGCAAATTTATGCCAATGCGAAGAACTAAGTCACAACCATGACCGATAATTTACTGCCCACATAGCACCGCAATATTGCAGGAATATTACAGAAATGTTGCAGGAATATTACTAAAATATTGCATAAATATGACAACAATATTGCAGAAATATTTAAGCCTAGGCATAAGTCTCGCAGAAATATTGCGAGGATATTGTTATGATGTTGTAGGAAT